AGGGGTCCTGAGGGCAAAAAAAAAAAAAAAAAAAAAAACGTTGACAATGTTGAAGTTTTATAACAAAATGAAAATTTTAGCTTTTTTGACACAAAGCCCCGGCTGGTGAAAACAACCCTTCAGAATAAAAGCTATAACATGCTTATGGTTTAGTGGTTTAGTCCTTAGATAACACATTGATTTAATTTACCTTCTTCATCGCAGACCCGAGTGTGACGTACACTACAGTGGTGATGCTTAAGCGATATATCGTGCAGCTTTAGTTGAGAGTATTTTATTAAGTTTTCTCTTCATTTCTAATTAGAAAAAAAACTTCTGGTTTTACTGAAGTTTCTTCTTTTTTCAGGTGGATGAAGCTTTGGAGATAAAGAACACCGACATCGCCAAAGAGCTGAGTCTCCCACCCGTGAAGCTGCACTGCTCGAGTAAGATCACTTTTCTCCTGTTCACTGTTTAAACTGCTTCCTGCACAGTTAACTCCCTGTTTGTGTTGCTGCCGCAGTGCTCGCTGAGGACGCCATCAAGGCGGCTCTTGCAGACTATCGTCTCAAGCAGCACAACAACCAGCAGGAGGCGGTCAGAGCCAGCAGCAGTTAAACCAAACACCTCGAGCTGGACGTGGCCCGCTTCCTGTTGCCACAAAGAGAAGTAGACGCCCTCCATCCTCTCTGTTTCACTTTTCAGCAGTAATATGACTAATGCACTGTTGTCATCCCTCAGTAGCAGTTGATACACCAGGCTTTCTGTATTAGTCTTAACTGTGTATACTGTATTTAGCCTGTCACGTAAACGCACAATTTACGCACCGTTTGGGCTGGTGGTACAAAGCTGAGCCTTATTTTTTTTTTGAGATCCCGTTTTTATGTGTGGATTTTATTCTGGAAGAGTGGCTTATTTTGACAAGTTTAATAAGGGTTGTTTTTTTGTGTGTGACACAAAAAACACTGACTGAAAACAAAAGGTGGTGGCCGGGGGAGTTAAGATGTGATTTACAAAATGCTTTATTGAAGGCCTGCAATAAAAATATTGTGAAAAATTATGTTTTGAGTTCATCTTTTCCCCTCAAACACTCTAAAAATATATTTTATTTGCAAACCACAGCTGCAACTCAATTAATGCTTCATCGATTATTCAAAATCATCATGACGATTATAAAAATGAGTCGACACAGAATATTTGTATTATTTAACCACGTAAATTCAGAACTGTCGGGGGCAGAATCGCTTCTATTGTCTGCGGTGGCGTTGTTTACTACTGAAGGAGGTGCTGGTCTGTAAACCACAGAAGAAGCCACGGTGGGCACATCAAAGATAGCAATGTTGGAAGAGGAAAAAAACTAAACAAGACTTAAACTTTTAAAATTTGGCTTAATTTCACCAAAAATAAACCAAAGAAATTAAAATGCAGATTGTTATTCAATGGCAGGACAGTGAGAGTGATCACCTGAACTGCTGTGATTATATTCATACTTTTTGTACACAATATGCCTTTTTACACAGCTTACACAGGTAAAGCACTGCCATTAAAAAACTGCTGAAACATTTACACATGGATAAAATAAACAATAGACCAGTGTCAGCAGATTTTGTTGAACTGCAGTCGTCTGAATCAGGTGTGTTTAAAGCAGGGGAACTGGAATGCAGGTCAGTGTGCCTTGAGGAACTGGGTTGGGAAACACTGCAGTAAACGTTAGTGCCTGTGACATGCATATCCATGAAATACAAAAAGTCAAAGAAAATATATTTACATTTAAGAAACTTGGCATAATACACGTGATTTGACCCATTATGTCACAAAATTGGCATATTTTCTTTTGAATTTTGCTCAGCTCAAGTAAAACAGGAAGTGACATCAAAGGGGAACTCTTTGAGAAAGAAAACTCCCTGGTTTTTGTTTACTGGAACATTATTATATTTCTCATCTCTCTATGATAGCGATTAAAATAATCTAAAGAAACATCAGATTCTTCTCTACAGTCTGTGCTGTTAGCCATTTTAGCAACGCTCTGTTCACATTCAGACATTACCCTTTGACATCACTTCCTGTTTCTTTAAATCCCTTTTTTACAATATGTTATCTTTCCAAAAAATACATTCATATTTATTATAAAAAATTTGATGTCACAGGCACTTTAAGCCCTCTTTGATTTAGATGACACATTTTAGAGGTCTTTTATGAGCACTAAGTCGTATAAAATTATAATTTTAGGTGTTTAAATGGTTATAAAATGTAGAAATATGTTGTCCTTCCAGCCTCTTTTGCATTGGATCAAATCAAACACTTGTCTGTCTTAGTTTTTGCTTCAACCTGTGCTCCACCAGTGTTCAGAAGGCTGTTTTCTCCCCTGCGATGAGCTGAAGTGTAGCCGTGTCGTTGTGAATGTGCAGAGAGGACGGCCGCAGACCCCGGCCCGTCGAAGCCTCCCTCAAGTCCTCCTTCCCAAACGGCTGCTCTGCAGGATCCAGTGTTGCGCTTCTTGCTCCGGCCGCTCTGCTGTCAGGGGCCTCCTCCTGCTCCTCCTCAGGCAGACTTGGCAGCTGCTGATCCACGATGCTGCCGTCTGGTTTGGAGCTGTCCTCGGACCTGTGGTCTGCTGCTTTCGGACGGGGCTCACTGCTCTCCGCTGTCTTTTTGTTCGGCGTGCGCAGGCTGCTGGCAGCTCTCAGGATCTCCGCCTGGAGCTGCCGGTGAGAGTCCAGCGGCTCACACTCCTGCTCAGGAGCAGCTTTTTCTTGCACCTCGTTAAAGGGTTTAGCACCGCCGGTTTTGTCCAGGCGGTCCACGTACATCTTCGACGGGAACGAGGACGGGTAGTAGGAGTTCACTTTGCGCTTGCGGCTCAGTATAAAGGCCCCACAGGTGATGAGGAGAAACAGAAAGCTGAGAGTGGTTCCAACCAGGATGAGGAGCAGGTTTTCCTCCAGGTAGCTCACAAGCTCTTTGGGGAAGCCTGTTTCTGCTTGTGATGGGTCAGCTGGTGTGGTTCGGTGCTTAGTGGGGACGACTGCAGTGGACACAGAGATAGCCACGGAGCTAAACTCTTCCTCATCTGTGCTTCCCTCCAGAGAACCGTAGGAAGAAAGAGGCGTGGCCAAGCTTCTGCTGATGTGAAACACCAAACACAGACCGAAGGGATGAAGGCCTGCTGGGCCCATGGTTTCCTCTCAGGATCTGAAAAAACACAAAACACTGAACATAAACTCCATCTGGTAACAGATGCTGCTGCATGTTTGAGTCAAAGAGCGTCTGTTCTTCTGAACATGGTTAAATCGGGTTTGGATTTTCCACCAGCTCCTAAGAACACGACAAAAACAGCGTTAAGTCCGAAACAAAACTGTTATTTTGTCATCAGTTTCATATTGGATTACTTTGATTTTAGCCTCGTAAACCGATAAAGTTGTATTTTATACCAATTGAAACCAAAAATACATAAAATCTTCCTCACTGCACGAACGTACAACCCTAAAAGTTGGTATAAAATGTAATAAAAAAAATCTAAAATTGTTTGCAAATCATTTCAACTCTAGTACAAATGAAATGAAATTGTCTGAAACTAGGATCTGTTCTTATTGCATGGCATAGTTAAATTTATGAATTATATAAATCTGTGTAGCGTTATTTCAGTTTTTCATTAAAATCATTTAGATAATATGAAATTCCCTTTTTGACATAATTTTTAGTTAGTTTATGCAGCTTGTGATCAGTTGCTTCTCTTTTTTATTTGTGGATTCTCTTTTTTTAATAACTCCAGACTAAAGGTTTTTGATTTCCTTTTTATTTTTCCACTTTCCAACCAGAATTTCATACTTTGTACTTTCTATTCTCGTCCCTGTTCAGTCTTTTCTAAAAATGCACTGTTAGCATTAAAATCTAAAATGAGTTTATTTTGAAAATAACAACCAGGTCTCAGCAAAAATAATTCCTAGTACCAAAATATTTAATTTAAAGTGTGTATTGAGAAGTAATGAACTTTGTTTTAACAAAATATGTACACAAATTTTCAGGATTTACATCATTTTTAGTCATTCTTCAAAATTAAAAGTGAAATACAACACGAGGTAAAAGTAAAAATCTATAATTGTGACTTTATTTTTGGAAAGAATTTAGCATTTGTGCATCAGATTAACACATTGGTGCTGGATATAAAAGTGACGGTTCAGTCAGTCTTTACTGTTACACTGCTTTTATCTGAACTGCACATGTTCTTTGTTAAACTTTATTTTAAAAATAGATAAAAAATTTCTTTCATAAAAGCTTTTAAAAAGAAGCAAACAAAATGAATTAAATGGGCACGATTTGAGACTGAATAGGTGTTTCTTCGCAAAGAATTGCGTGAACTAACCCTTTAAAGCCAGCTGTATTTATTGGCTTGAACCTCAGCTCAGACAGCTCCCACACTTTTAATCCCTGTTCTGCTGCATCTGTGCAAGCTGGCCACCACATGAAACTCAGCTCCCAGCTGGAAAAAAAGAATGGGATTTTTTTTTAAATCCCCAAACCAAATAAACAGGCACAAAATCATGTTCACAAAAGGCTCTCCAAATGAACACAAAGGGAAAAAAAGTTTTGAAATGTTAGATTTTTTGCCTTTATTTTGCAAAGAAAAATAAATCAGCTTGCTTATTAATTAATTAATTAATTAATTTATTTATTTATTGTGTCTACAGATGATTCAGATCTTTTTTCTCTCTAAAATGTTACTTTTTAAAGTTTGAATCCCACTTTACAGGCACCGCAGTGCCTCACTTTAACTCGCGTAGGGTATTGTGATGCTTCACGCGTATTTAAGTACATTTGATGAAAAGAAAAAATGCACACTTTACTCACCATTCACTGTAAAAGAAGCACCTCAGTAGAAATCCTCGCAGATGGAGGGAGGCCGGAACCAGACGAGCCGTGCAGAGAGAGTGTGTGTGACGGTTGGAGGGGCTGCAGCACCTCTGCAGTTTCAGATTTCAGTGTGGAGGTTTGCACAGTGCAACAGAGATGTCATTAAAAGTAAAATCCCTCCTTCTGCCTCTCTCTCTTTCTCTCTCTCCACTGACTGTTCTCCTCCTCCCCCTCCTTTTCTCCCAACAGTGTCTGGGGCTCTCTGGGCTGCACACACAGATTGTTCTTGTTAGGTATGAGTTTATAAAGTGCTGTGGGGGCAGGGACCTCCTGTCTCTTCCTGTGTGCAGCAGGCCTCTGAAACATCAAATGTAAACTTTTAAAAATGTAAAAAAAATCCTCTCACATGGGATCAATCCTCTTATTGGCAGCATCATAGTACTTTGTATATGCATGTGACTAACAATGAACTAAACCTCCTGGGGTTAAAAAAAGAGTCAAAGAGCAGTTTGTATAAGTGACCTGCTGCAGGAAAAGGTTAGTGTTTCCTGTGAGACTAGACAGAAAAAAAAAAGTGGGGGAAGGAGACTTTTCCATACAATGAGGTGTTATTTATCCAGAGATAAGTCCACACAGAGTGTTTACGTTTCAGGATGAGACTGTGACTCTGCATGAGTGAAGGCATTTTTCCTCCGGCGTGTTTGTTATGGATGAGCTGGAAGACGAGACTGCAGCTTTATTTGGTCAGGAAGAGCAGGAGATGACGTCTGGCATCCCTGAGGTTTACATTTGTCTCAGCTCTGTTGATAGTTACTGCTGACTGTTTCAGATCTGCTCAAAAAAAAAATATATATATATATATATATAAACATCTCCGTGAGCCTCATGTGCATTCAGAGAACTGTTTTGTTTTGTATCAGAGGGGAAGTGAATATAAGATCCAGTCTAGAGTAGGATAGACGTTCGCTTTGAAGCGTTTTATTAAAAAAAGGGGAACTGAGTTCAGAGAGTATCCGCTTTTATTATGGCTGTCAACCATTTAGACACCCATGAGGAGATGCTACCAAAACACTTAAAAAAACAAAGTTGTCTTTCAGCAATTTTCTGTAAACATGAAGGCATTAAACTCTTTGTTAACCATGTAAAATATTTACAGGACTGATGTCAAACTCTGGTCCTCGGGAGCTGCTATCCTGCATGTTTTCTTTGTTTCTCTGCTCAAACACACACCCGATTCGGTGACTGAATTACCTCTTCAAGTTTTACAGAAGCCTGTTAATTATCCATTCATGCCGATCAGATGTGTTGGAGCGGAGAATAAAAGGAACACATGGAGGATGGTGGCCCTCGAGGACCGGAGTTTGACATCTGACCAGTTCAAAAGTACTAAAATAATTTAAACACGTACCGGCTAAGATGGAGTAAATTAGTCAAACAGGAAGAAGAAGTGCAAAATTTATGTACACGTTTCAAACAAATAGAACGTTTTAGGAAACTAAGGCTGTAAGTAGATTTGGCTAGATCTCCAAAATAAAAGCATCCCTTTGTGCAGGGCTCCTCAGTGCCAAATTTACCAGCCATCTCCAGACTTTGGTTCAGTTTTCGTGATAAAAATGTACACTTAAAAAAGTGCAAGAAAAAGTCGAGAATAAAACACAGTGAACGATGCATGTCTATCATAAATCCAGTATTTACATTAAGTCTTCAGTCTGTAGAGAACTCAACAGTCTCTGTGAAGAACAGAAAACTTTTGACAAAGCAAGCCTTTCTCTTATTTTTGGCAAAAACATAAAACGTGGTTTCTGCTCCGGATGTCTCAAAGGAGAGATAAAGCAGCTTTGATCACTCTGTGTATCCTGGTGTCAAGTTATGCAAAACTTAGACTTTTTACCCAGAGATCACATCCTCTTCATCAAATGCCAGATACGGTTATTGATGCTTGAAACAGTGTTTGTGTGTATGCGTGTGTGTGTGCAGTGAAGCAAAGCTATCAGCATCAAAGCAACAGTTTCCACACCGCTGACACACGGCGGATCAGTTCGGTCTCAGGATAAACCAAGGTTCTGAATCCGTCTAAACGTAGCGATCGTTGTCTGGGAGGAAGCTGCTGAGAGTGAGATTATCTCCCCCTTCCTCGTCGCTGTCTCCCCCCGCAGGGAACACCAGGACTCCGTTGGAGACTGGGTTGCGTTGTCTCGTGTAGGTGTAGGTCTTCTCGGGCAGCAGAGCAGAGATGCACATCATCTCGGTCGACTGCTGAGGCTTCCTCACTTTGTAATTCCTCGCAGACAGCTTGACGCAGAGGACGATGGTGGAGATCGCGAAGATGGTGGCCACGGCTGCCAGAGAGGCGATGATGATGAGGCACTGGGTCGCCACGCCTCGGGTGGAGCAGGGCTGGATCTGACTGGTGGGGGCGTCCTTGGATGGCTCGCAGGGGAGGATCGTTGCAGTTGGAATCGATCTGGTTGTTGCAAATGGCAACCTCGTAGGTTTTCGAGGAATCAGGATTCCCGCAATACTGGTAGAGTTCCCAGTGGTGGAGCTGGGAGGGCTGGTTGTAGCTGGACTCGCTGTCTCAGAGGGTCCAGTGGTGGAGTTGAGCGGACTTGTGGTAGAGGCCGTCTTGCTCGTCTTTGAGGTTGGACTGGACTCTGCGGGGTGACTGAGGTTCTGATTGAAGGTTGAAACCGTCTGATTATTCAAAGAGGTGGTGGAAAGTGACTCCGATGTATTTCCAGTGATGGCTGTGGGTTCTAGGGAAGAAACAGCCACAGTTACCAAAACAGTAGATGATGCTGTAGCAGTTTCATTGGTGAAACTGGAGGTTGATGTTTGATGGAGATGATCTGTGGGATTTAACGAGTCTGCCGTTGTGTGGTTGAGAGATTGTGCTCCACTTGTAGCTGTGGTCGTTGAAAAGGAAGGTCGGACTTCGTCTGTAGCCGTCGTCACCACAGTTGAGGGTTGCGTTTCAGTCAAAGTGGTGGTTGCAGCAGTTGAAGGTTCACCTCTAGATGTTTTCACCTCAATGGATACTGAAGTTGAAGGTGGCGTTTCAGTTGTAGCCCTGGACACAGCAGTGGAAGGTTGTGCTGCGCCTCTGGATGTGGTTCCAGCAGGAGCTTCTGGTTTAGTCGTTGGCCCTTCTGTGGAGGCAGGAAGTCCAGAGCTGCTGGTACCTGCTGCAACAGCCGTGACGACAACCGAACCACCTCTGCTGCCGTCTGGGCTGCTAGTTTTGGAGCTGACCGTTGTCGGTTCTCCCGTGTTGTTTGCCACAATGGGTTGCACGGCCCTTTCTGCTGGTGCAGTGGTGCGAACGTCTTCAAGTCTGTGCTCTGGAGTCCAGACTGCAGACTGCAACACGTTTGCATGAGCCGTGGTTGGCTGCCTGGTTGTGTCGTTCCCCTCAATGGTGAAGTTTGTGTTTTTGTTTTCTGGTATGGAAGTGGTCATAGAAACCATAGCAAACTGAACACACAACAGCAAAGGCACGTACATCTTGCCGTGGCGCATCTTTGCTGAGCAAAGGATCTGAAATGAGGAAAATAATGAAGTTTACTTTCAGGTTGTTGCACGAAATGTTGCACAGACGGCTTCTAATAACATACAGGGGAAGAACATATGTCTACTAGTGCCATCTTATGAAACAATCGTGCCTCACCTCACCCTCTGTTTCATTTTTACGAGATAAAACCCCACTTATCTCCTAAAATGTATGAAAACTAAGAGTTTTTGTTTCACATCCTAAATGTTATTGTAACTTAGGCTAAAACTTGACACTGAAGTATGAAATAATGTGTCAAGTTACATAAACTAACATTCAAGCAAAGCTAAAACTTTAAAGTTTTCTTGAAAAGTATTTTTCAGACACCTGTCATCGACCTACCTTACTGCTGATGAAGCGTAGAGATATATCTGAGGTTGAAACCAATAATAGAAATAAGAATTCAGCTCATTTCAGCCTCTCTGGAAGAAGATCCTCATGGCACTGACATGATGTCTGTTGCTCGGCTCACACCAGAAACAGGAAATGTTCACACTTTTGAGACAAAAAAACATGACGTATATGACATTTTCAGATCACTCAGATACAGAGACACTTCCCTTTTGAATCACACAGCCCAATGCTGGCAGCTGAAAGCTTTGAATACACCTTAAAACGTCTCTCTGTATTTAGGAATGAGAGTTATTTGTTTTACCTGGCTGGTGTAAAAGCAGAGGAGAGCTCTGATTCGTTTTTGTCGAGGGTTCTTTGCATGTCCAGCTTTATTCAAATCATCAGGAAGTGCTCAGTTCTGTTTAAACGCTCAGATACTTCTCAATCACGCTGCTGCGAGAGATTTAAAGCTGCGTGTCGTGTGGATAAAACACCTAAATGGCAGCAAAAAAAGGAACCACAGTGATCAAGGATCAAAACACAGTTTATTAGACTTTTAATGTGCGATAAATTTCCAGTGAGCAGTCATAAAGGTCCACATTGAGATTAAGAGGGGATAACGAAGTGGCTCATAGTGTTGCTCTGTGGAAGAGACGTGTTGTGTGGAAATCCTAACTGTCACTTCCTGTGACTCATACGGACATGATGTGGTTTTTAAAGAACATTCGAGTCACTAATCTACAGCACCCAGTTTGTTTTTGTTTTTAAGATTAGCATGCTGAGGGGCACAGAACAGGTTAGAGTTTATATAGAGGATATATTAAATTTGAGTTAAAGATTGTTTTTGTTGTTTTGTAATTGACTAATTTAATTTGTTTTATTTATGTCTTGTGAACTGTGGGTTGTATGTGTGTGTGTGTGCATGTTTTTTTCTACCTGGTGGGGACAATTTTTGACCATTTTCCTGGTACACACAGGCTGGTAAGGACCCACTGTTCTTAATGGGGACAAAAGCTCGGTCCGCATTGAGGGAAATACTGTTTGTGGGTCATGAGTTAGGTTTAGGAATAAGGTGAAAATTGAGTCTGGGTTAAGTTTAGCGTGAGGCAGAGCTGCCCAAATTGGGGCCCGTGGGCCAAAATGGGCCCACCAAGCCATTTGACTTGGCCCACCAGCAGTTGTACAGAAGCACTTTATTTCCACTTAGTCATTCCAACCACTGGTCCAACTATATAAGGAACTGATCTTTGCATTATATTAAGATTAATCATAAAATACAAGTAATTACAAGAGATATTTAGATTAGAATTGAGCACACATCTTAATTTGCACACTTTATAATATCACAAATACTAAAATTTTAATTTATGAAAAGTCCCATGAGCCTTTGCTGCCAGAGCATACTTCAGATTTTTTCCACGTCCATGAGCAAAAAAACAAACAAAAAAATGTGGGCCACTGCAGTAGCTGCTAGTTTAATTATAAAAAATAAAACAACTTTACTTAAGAAGTATTTGCATTTCATGTATTAAATTATTACATTTGACCCACAGGCCTCAGACTGATGTTCGTTTTGGCCCTCTCAGGGAAAATGTTTGGGCACCCCTGGGGTGAGGGGTCAGGATTATGCGATAGAAATGACCAGTAAATGAATGAAAGTCAATATATTCCCATGAAGATAGAAGAACAAACGTGTGTTTGTGTGTGTTTAGCTGTTCACTAGAATTCAATGTTCAAAAAGAAAACATTAGAAATATAAATGTAATGCTGTAATCGTAACATTTTCTTTTCTTTGAGCGTAAAAGGTGGAATTCAAAAACTTTCTCAGCCAACAAATTTTTTGATTTGATTCTTATTTAAAGTGACATTTAAAGTCAGAATCTGTTTACGATTGTGCCACTTTTTCATGTTTAAGCAAACCATACAGTATACAAATTAACACTGTTTAATGTTAACGTATTTATTTTAATTATTTGACTTTATTTACAGCATGGGTGTCAAATTCAGTTACACATGGGGGGCAAAATTCATAACTTGATCCAAGAAATATTTTATCACAAATTATTCTTATAGAAAATAACGTTTTCTAAAAAAACATATCATTTACAAATACATAACCTAATAGATAATGAAAAAAGATTACATATATTAAAAATGAATCATTAACATTCATTTTTTAAGTCTTACTCTCAATTAACAACCTTTTTTATTTGTTGTATCTTAAAGATACTTTTGATTAGAATCCAGCAAAAATGTAAAAAAAAAAGATTTAAAAAACTCTCACTAAAAATCCAGTTGACTTTAAAATAAAAAAGAATAGTAAAGATTATTAAAGTTGGTTCTCTGTTGCTTTCCACACCAAATCTAAAGATTATTAATTTTTTTTAAAAACATACTTTGTTGTTTTTAAAGAGAAGAGGGCTTCTTCTGCCAACTCTTCCAAACAAACCTTTTCTCTAATTGTTCTGGTGGTTCGATCTTTCACCTTAAAGCTGCTCATCGATGCCTGTAGAGATTTTCTTTTGCTTTTTCTCTGAGCATTGCACGGTCTGAGTCTGACCCTGTTTGAAAGGACCTTTAATGATGGGTAATAGCATGTTCTGAGTCCCTCTTAAATCTTTGCAAGCCACCAAGATTATATTTTTAAACAAAATGGAATCTGCTGTTTTCCAAGTTTCGGCTGAATAACTTTAAAACCCGGTAAAGACCACATCATTTTTATTACGCATAAAACCCCAGAATTTAAAGACAAAACTTTTTTTTTTCATGACTGTATTTTGGATCTTTGCAGCAGTAATGGAGATAAAATGTAAAGTATTGAACATATAAACTAAACATTTTACTGTGTGTCATATAAACTATTTATTGTTCTGAAATGTAAAATTACACTAAATGAGCTTTAAGAAGTTGTTCAGTTTCTTTGATGTGACCTTTCAAATCAGCTGGCGGAAGTGAAAATGAGGAAATGTTTACACAAATTCTACAACCTAACCCTGATCCCTCACCTTAAACTCAGTTCACACATTAGTCCTAAACCTAACCATTACCTAAAAATAGTCTTTCCCTTGTGTGGACCAGGCAAAATGTCCTCACAAGGGTGGTTTAATGTCAAAATATGTCTGCACAATAGCAAAGCATGCACACTCTCACACAAACAAACACACACGGACAAAACAAGATTAAAAAATTGTTTTCATGTGTAAAATCTTTATTATGTGCACAGAACTGTTTGTCATGGGTTCAGCAGAACACAAGCTGACAGTGGTCCCTTCCCAACACCAATACGCACCGAAGGGGATAACTTTAGTTTGACTCGGAACTAAAGAGGCAAGAGGCACCACTACATTTTCACAACATTTACACCAGAAAGATGTAACCCTTCCCACCCAGATTTTATGGTCAAATTAAACCCAAACTGGTCCATTTTAGGCCCGGGACAAAACGTCTGAGGACGACTTCTTCCGCATTCTGAACGATGAGCAAACTGGTGGGAGGGAAAAAAATTCAACAGCTACTGTTTGAAATAAAAAATAAAAGAATCCAGCTTGACTAACATTGTTCTACCAAGTTGTGATTGGAATGTACAACAGAGTGGAGCAGGGGGGGAAACAAATGTAAAGTAGTGCTTAAAACGGCACACAATCCATATTTGGCAACACAATAAGAACGATGGAAATACTGATGCTACAGTTTGTCAGCCGTAAGTATAAACTGCACATACAGTGGTTTGCAAAAGTATTCATACCCCTTGAACTTTTCCATATTTTGTCACATTACAACCACAAACATAAATATATTTCACTGGAATTTAATGTGAAAGACCAACACAAAGTGGTATACAATTGTGAAGTGGAAGCAAAATTTTACATGAATCAAAACATTTTTTACAAATAAAAAACTGAAAAGTGCGACGTGCAAAAGTATTCAGCCCCCTTTTTCCTGAGTGCAACCAATTGTATTCAGAAGTTGCCTGATGACTGCTAATGACTCAAAAGGGTCCACCTGTGTGTAATCTAATCTCAGTACAAATACAGCTGCTCCGTGACGGCCTCAGATGTTGGTTAAGAGAATATTGGGGAGCAAACAGCATCATGAAGTCCAAAGAACACACCAGACAGGTTAGGAATATGGTTTTGGAGAAGTTTAAAGCAGGCTTAGGTTATAAAAAGATTTCCCAAGCTTTGAACATCTCACGGAGCACTGTTCAATCCATCATCTGGAAATGGAAAGAGTATGGCACCACAGTAAACCTGCCAAGACAAGGCCGTCCACCTAAACTTACAGGCCGAACAAGGAGATCACTGATCAGAGAGGCAGCCAAGAGGCCCATGGTGACTCTGGATGAAATGCAGAGAGCCACAGCTCAGGTGGGGGAAACTGTCCACAGGACAACAATTAGTCGTGCACTACACAAATGTGGTCTTTATGGAAGAGTGGCAAGGAGAAAGCCATTGTTAAAAGAAAACCATAAGAAGTCCCGTTTGCAGTTCGCCAGAAGCCATGTTGAGGACACAGCAAACATGTGGAAGAAGGTGCTTTGGTCAGACGAGACCAAAATTGAACTTTTTGGCCACAATGCAAAACGCTATGTGTGGCGGAGAAAGAACACTGCACATCACTCTGAAAACACCATCCCCACTGTCAAATATGGTGGTGGCAGCATCATGCTCTGGGGGTGCTTCTCTTCAGCAGGGACCGGGAAGTTGGTCAAAGTTGATGGGAAGATGGATGGAGCCAAATACAGGGCAATCTTGGAAGAAAACCTGTTGGAGTCAGCAAAAGATTTGAGACTGGGGCGGAGGTTCACCTTCCAGCAGGACAACGACCCTAAACATAAAGCCAAAGCTACAATGGAGTGGTTTAAAAAAAAGAATATTCATGTGTTAGAATGGCCCAGTCAAAGTCCAGACCTAAACCCAATTGAGAATTTGTGGCAAGATCTCAAAACCGCTGTTCACAAACGCTCTCCATCCAATCTGACTGAGCTTGAGCTGTTTTGCAAGGAGGAATGGGCAAGAATTGCAGTCACTAGATGTGCAAAGCTGGTGGAGACATACCCTAAAAGACTTGCAGCTGTAATTGCAGCAAAAGGTGGCTCCACAAAGTATTGACTCAGGGGGGCTGAATAATTATGTACATCGCACTTTTCAGTTTTTTATTTGTAAAAAATGTTTTGATTCATGTAAAATTTTGCTTCCACTTCACAATTGTATACCACTTTGTGTTGGTCTTTCACATTAAATTCCAGTGAAATATATTTATGTTTGTGGTTGTAATGTGACAAAATATGGAAAAGTTCAAGGGGTATGAATACTTTTGCAAACCACTGTAAGAATGTTTGACCACAACTTAAAAATAAAAAGTAATGTCCTAAAACGTCTTTTCTTCCAATGTGAACACAAGCTCAGAGAGTTTTCCTTTCCCTTGTGTGTGAGTGTGTGAGAGTAAAACGGGAGGGCTGATGAGTAACGATAAAGTTCATCTTGGAATGTGAGCTCGGTCTCGTCCTCCGTGACGAGGCCGAGCTCGCTGAATCTTGAGAATTTGGCCGGTGGGTTCCCAAAATGAGACGCTGCGTCTCACATCTTGGCAACCTGCTCTTCGAGTCTGGCGATCCGACGGTCCTGAAGGATGACGCGGTCCCTGAGGGACTTAAACTCTCGGAGTACCTCTTCCAGTTTGTCTTCCATTTTCTGGAGGGGGAAAAAAAATGCAACGAAACGATTTTTAGACGACAATTAGTGTCAAGAACTGGAACAAGAAACTGTTGCTAATCTGAGCAGTGGAGAAAGTGATCAAATAGGACACAAGTTCATGGATTTGGTAATATTTTCCCTGTGCTGCTGCTGCTGCACCAAAAAACCAAACGCATACTGAATTCTAACTTTCTTAAAGGGAACTCTGACTGCTTGTAATATTAGACATTATTTGAAAAACATTTAGTTCAACTGTAAACATACTGTATGCTGTTCAGTATTTATAAATTAAAAAGAATATATTGTTTCAGGGAAGGCAACAAATAATTTATGCTGCAAAGCATACTGGGTAAATGTTCTCCGGTGCAAGGCTGTGAGCGAGCTCTATCCACCCTGAAGCTTGAACAATATCTGACGTTCTGCCCTTTTAAAAGAAACTGGAGTGAGTTGTGACAGAGGAGAATGTAAAAATAATGCATCCTGTAACTAAAAATGTGGACAGAGGACAACAGAGCTGCTTCACGTTAGGAGAACCTCAGCTAAACCTGTTAGCTTTTGTTTTAGCACTCAAGCTAATACGGAAATATATGCGGCTATATACATGGCAGCATAACATGATTAGCTCAGGATCTAACACTATATATTACATTACACGTAAGCAAATCAGGTGAGGACGTTTTTTAGGACAGACAATAGAAACTTTTCTTATTGAGGAGTTGGCAGTGGTTCGAAATCTGACTCCAAGCTCAGATCAAAACTTGAGAGCCCTTTTTATACTGTGTATGTATTAGCTTGGGCGCTAACGCTATTTGTATCGAACAATACAGATTAAAAATTTTTTTGTTTTTATCAACTTGTCCTCTGAAGATGCTCTGTGTTGAAGGCTCAGTGGGTCTGTGCTCGACTCTTCCACCTAGGGTGCATTGTTGAGCACAGATCCACTGAGAAACCTGTTGTTTCAGCAACATTTAATTTAAAAACTGGACTTTTGAGATTAAAAAAATGTTCATGAATAATTTCAATAAATTACAAGTTAAGAAAGGCACAGATATTTGTCTTTTTTGTATCTAAAAAAAATTGAATCGTGAATTTTCTGCATTGTTACACCACTAATATCGCCATATATGTGTATTAGCTTAGGTGCTAATTCAAAAGCTAACAGGCTAAGCTGGGTTTTCCTTCCATGAAGCAGCTCTGTCCTTATTTCCATCCAGATTTTCAGTTGCAGGCTGAGTCATTTTTACATTGTCTTCTCTGTCAACGCCTTCTGGTTTCATTTAAAGAGGCTGAACGTCCGATAGATTAACCTTCAGGGTGGATAGAGCTCACAGCCTTGCTTGTAAACTCGGTATGCTTTGCGGCGTAAATAATATGGAGCTCTCCGTGTAGCGATATTCGTTTTTTAAATTTATAAAAAAAACTAAACAGCCTAAAATATTTTCACTGTCCTTGTTTTACAGTTCAACTAAATGCTTATCAAAAATATCTAATGTTACAACTAGTCTGGGTTTCTTTTAATCTAAAATGAAAGCTGTAAACAAACAAACAAAAACTAAACACTCACTGCTGAGGACTGTGGGGGCGTGTGCTTCTGGATGGTGGGGACGCTTTCCGCTTTCGGCGCCGGCTTGCTCTCCAGGATGTTCTTCTTGACCACCTTCAGGTCCCGGTTCTTCGTGGAGACGTAGCCGTCTTTGAGCGAGATCAGGATGGGGCCTCCGTTCTTGCCCGCGAACCACTCCTCTGCCTCCAGGGCGGGGTCGGGGCCGGCCGTGTCCGGGTACAGGTCGTCCTGGAACAGGTCAGACTGGTCGCGCGTCGAGGCAAAGAAGCGGGGAGAGAGAGGGAAACGTTAAGGTTCGAGTGCAGGAACACAGCCGTAACAGAGATAAGACACTCACCTTACGTGGGACTGTCATTATAATCGGCTCACATTTTCTCTCATGTAATTTGTAAAACCTGCAGAGATGATAAACATGCTTATTACTGAAGACAATTAAATCATTTATTCAAATCCAAAAAGAAATACAATAACACCTAAATAAACTTTAGGTGTAACATCAGGCTAAATTTAAAGAAAATGTTTAAATAATAAATGCACAGGTATTGCTTATTTGCAGCCACTTTTAGAAGAAATGTAACATGACATCAGACGCTTTCATCAGAATTTTACACAGTGAGCTGCTGTGGAATCTATTAATATCTTTCAATTCATTCGAACCATTCTTTGTCTGTTCATATGACGTGCAGTTGTGGTAAAAAAAACGTGTCGACATCTCCATAAAAGATGATGTGTTTGACTAATATTTTAAAGAGATAATCATAAAGGCAACAAAATAAGAAAAAACAGACTAGGTCAAATAAATAAATAATAATAAACTTAAAGCTACTTTATTTCTCTGACGTGTGTTACACAAGTTACGGGCTTTACTTATTCCTCACAGCTTCCGCTTTTTAGCTTAGCTTTTGTTTTTAAAAAGCAAACCAAAAACCCTCATGCTGTAATGTTTCATGATTTTTCTTCATTCAAACCCTGAAAAAAACATTTGTACTCTTCAGAAAACAAAATGCAGTCTCAATAGTACCTTGCAATTTCACATTTGTTGACATCCAGGCCTCTTTTGGGCATGTAACCCATTCCTCTCTGGGGTTCTTTAGTGGAGAAGGTGTTGAGGTAGTGAACGAACGGGGCCTCTTCGGTGATCTCAAAGTACCGAATGCTGCTGTCGCCCTGAAGACACCGTGGGATTTTTTAATCTAACATTTGGAAACAAAACTTTGTAATCTGTGTGTGCGGTGTTTTTTACACTTTACCTTTCCACACAGGTAGACTATGTTAGTGTCAGGGTCATAAAAGGGCAGCAGAACTCCATTACTGGTGTCCATCTCTTGAACACATATCGGCTCATCCATGTTATCCTGCAGACACAAAAACACACATTTCAGGTGATTCATCAGCAGATTGGTTCAACCGTGCTACATGAGGTGAAGCGTCTGCGTAAATGTTTTTTTCTTTGTGTTTATCGCCCCCATCTGGACAAAAAACAAGATGCAACGTTTTGATAAATAGCAGCCCTGTTAAAAAGTCATGTTTTCACGCATCTCTAAACGTTTATGCCTGAAGGCTCTCTCCAGCATTCTGAGACGTCCACTCACACTTTCCACACGTCTGTATCTCTGCAGACTTGGACTAGAGGGTAATTTCCGACAACTCACAACCGTGTGGCGATGCCACATTTATGATTGTCGGGGGGAAATCCCAGGTGGAAGGAGCAACCAACTACAACATTAAAAACTAAATTTTATTTACATAAAAGTTTAAACACATGGTTTTCTGGTGAGTCATGGTTAGAGCTGCATGTGGTTGTTCTTCCTGTTGGATGATGGTGAGATCATGTATTCCAATTATCTTTTCATCAGATTTGATTCTGACCCCTTCTGTGTCGCTCTGTGATATTTCAGCTGTTTAGATACTGTTTAGATCAGTACTACGACTTTTGGCTTTTGTAACTTTTCCAAGTATTTAACTTTATTGTATGATCATTTGATCACACTATGATCATTTTTTCTTCCGTACGTTTTTTGGCACCTAACTCGTTCCACAATTTTCATGCTATTTCAGCAATTCATATAACAAAATGTTCAGCTCATTCATGTGAGGGGTTATACTTTTTTTTTTTTTAGCTATTTCACCTTTTTTACCCACTTTTTTGCCATTGAAAATGAATGGAGCTGTTTACAACATCCTTAAACTACTTTAAAATGTTTGTAAATCTTTACAGCACCTTACACATTTTGTTCTGCTTCAGCTCTTTTTTCATTTTCTTGTGCTAATTTTAGCTACGTTTTATTTTTTTGTTGATTTTATCTTTTTTTCTGCTATTAAAGCTAAAATTCTGCTTCTTTCTGCTATTCTTCTGCTTTTTTCTACTTTTTTGTGCTACTTTGTGTTATTTAGGCTTCTTACAGATGCTTTCTGCTATATTCAGCTATTTGCTGAAATTTTAGCTAATATTTAGCTGCTATTAGCTAAGGTTAACTTTTTTAGGCTAAATACACTTTTCAGCTAAATTTAGCAAACTTGTGCTCCTTATGCTTTCTTATGCGAATTAGAAAAATTCCAACTACTTTTTAGCTGTTTTACTGAAAATGTCAGCTGTTTTAGCCATTTTACTACAAATAATCACTTTTTTGTACCTATATGCATTTTTTCTGCTAGTTTTAAATTTGTTACAATACTTTCTCTATCTGGGTGCTAATTTCAACTTCTGGCTGCTACATTTAGCCTATTTTATGATACTTTTAGCTTTAGATCTGCTTCTTTCTGCTATTCTTTTGCTTATTTTACTTTTTGTGTTTTTTTCTGCTACTATTATATACAGTATGCTATTTATGCTTCTTGTAGATGTTTTCATTTATATTCAGCTATTTCAGTTTTTAGTTGTTTTCAGCTAGATTGGTGCTCCTTTTTACTGTTTTTCTGCAAAGTTAGGCTTTTGCTTCTTTCAGCTTTTCAAAATGAGCTCAGATTAACACTTTTCCTATTAAATATTTTCAGCTCAATTTCAGCAGCTTTCAGCAAGAAGTATTCACACTAGCATTTTTGCAGGAAATTGCAAGTTTTAAAATGTTTTTCTTATACACTGAAATTGAAAACTGCTTCAGCATATTTTCTCTAGTCTTTGTATTTATATACTAAATTAGGTTTTTAGCTAAAACCTTGTTATTTCTAGCAAAGATTTTGCTCCTTTTAGCTGTTGTTCAGCTTATTTTAGCTTTCACAACTCAGCTGTTTCAGCAGTGTATTTCTGCAGAAAATGCAGCTTCTTTAGTTAGTCCTAGACATCAGTCAGTGTGTGTTTCAGCGTGCTACAGGGTGAATAAGACCAACAGGAGTGACATACAGATTTCCACAGGGCTAGCTGGCGCTCGCTCATGCGGCTGAACCCAGTGGTGAAAATATTTCCATCTGCAAGAAAGATCGCTCTCATCGGCCGAGCTCCCTCGTGGGCTTTGTCCTTCTCCTAAAAATAGCAACAAACTTGTCAGAAATGCTTCATTGGCGTTTTGTTTTGCAGTTATGAGAGTAATATTACGGCACCCGTGAGGCACTCTAATCAAAACCCATTACAGCGTTTACCTACCCTCACAATCTTCTTTTTACGAGGGTCGATGACTCGGACCTTTTTGTCCTTGCAGGCGGTGCACAGCAGGCTGCCGTTGCGGCTCCAGCTGACACTAAAGATGACGTCAGGGTGCATGTCTTCCAGGTTGATCATGGCCTCTCCCGTCCCCACGTTCCAGATGACGATCTGGTTGTCGCACCCTGATGGAAAATGGACACAAGCAGTCTTGAGTGAACTCTCGTTCTGGGGGTTTACTTTCAGAGAACCAACCAATGCAACAGAAGGCGTTCATATACTGTAACTGGTCCTATTTTGAGTTCAACTGTGTGCAGTAAACACACCGTAGGCTGGCGAAGCAGAACTATCCCCTCAGGTGTAGAGGTGGTTAGAATAGTTACCTGCACTCAGGAGAACATTGCGAGCAGTCGGATGCCAGGACACAATACCGACCCTTTTGGAGTGACCCTCCAACACAACCACAGGCTCTGACAGGGCCGTTTCCAGTCCGTTCTCAGGTATCTGCCAGACCTATGACACAAAGACATGCTTTAGAAAACTACTGACTTTCATTAAGGTGGTGGGCGATAAAAGTGGAGCTTCGTCTTTGCCCACAGCCACCCTGAAAAACCTCTTACCATGACCGTGCAGTCCTCCGAGCCACTAGCGATGACCTGGTCATTATGAGGACACCAGTCGATGTCCAACACCGGGCCTGTGTGTCCACAGACTGTTGGGTACACCTTGTCTATACGACCAGTCTAAGAGACACAAGAGGATGAAGCAGAGAAATAAGCCCAACAACTCTTATCTGTTTCACAGGGTTCCTACAGTTAAAGGCAAGTTAAATTTAAGACTTTTTAATGCCAAGTGAAATTAAATTTAAGACCAATTTCATAATAAACACAAATGACAAAAAAATAAAAATAAAAACTGGCAGAAACTCATGAATCAAAGTATTTTTTGGTTGAAGTATCCAAATATTGCCAATTGTTTTTATACATATTTAACTATAGCAGAAATGTTCTTAGCAGTCAATTTTAAACTTAATTTAATGTCAGGAAATCCTCTAACAACCCAAAATTTGGAGTTTTAGGACCCACAGCGGAGTCTTAACCCCAATTTGCTTTAGATGAAACCTTAAAGTGCCTGTGACATCAAATTTTTTGTAAGAAAAGTGAATGCATTTTTGGAAAGACAGTATTAACATATTACAAAACAAATTTCACACTGCTCAGATGGACAATTGAGATATTTGCATGTGAAATAACATGAAGTGATGTCAAAGTCTGCATGTGAATATTTAAAAAAATAATTCTTATCATTTTAATATTTGAAATGAATTACAGTCATCCTATGTACCATGTCTTAGCATTGTTAAGACATTTGAAGATTGATTTAAGATTTTAAGGCTAATTAAGGCCTTATTTTTGAATTGACGAATTCAAAGACTTAAGACTTTTTAAGGATCTGTAGGAACCCTGGTTTCAGGTATGAAAATATAAACTTCAGTAGGTCTAATTAGTCTAACGAAAAAACATTTTCACCAAACTCACTCATGTTTTTAACTCTCTAAGAGCATCAACTGGCTGAGAGAAACATGACATGAAACAGGGACTATAGCTGGGTGATAACAGTGGGCTGATATGATGAGTGCTCATGTTTTCTGTCAGAATCGTTTGGTCTGAGTAAAGTCACTGTAATATAATCTTTACTCCCCATAAAAGCCTCAGGGAGCAGCAGAAGCAGAACTGATTCCCCACATGTTCTGAATTCACGACACTGTTTTACAAACAGTTTGCCTCTGGCTGTGCTTCACAGCATCAGGATTCAATCTTTAATTATTCTTAGACAAATTTGACATTTTCTTCCACTTTCTCCTTAAATGATCCGTACTGAGGTGAGTAAAGTAGTAACAGCTGAAAATAAGTAATACATATAAAGGTGAGAAGATTGTACGCGCTGCAGATTTAGGTCATTTTAGAACGAGTCCATGAAAGGCTCACCTTGTGCAAAGGAAGGACGAGAAAGGCTCCTCCTCCGCTCGCTTCGATGATGATGGCGACGAACTTGGGGTTGACGGCACAGAACGAGCTGTCCCACGTGACCCGGGACACACGGATGTCATCGTAGCACTGGTCGTTCCTCACAGCCTGGCCGAACACGTGGCGAAACTTGCTCTGTCGCACGACTCGCCGCGACATTTCTGCGGGGGGGGGGGAAGACGGTCATCATTGATTGTTTTTTCTAAAGCTGTGGACGTTTAAGCTAAAAACAAGAGTTTACAATAAACAGAATGTTATAGGTACAAATGATAAATGTGATAAATGTGACCCATCATATCAAAATGAGGATTAAGTCAAATTTGTTAAAAATGGCCCAACTACATTTTCAGATTCTGGCTTTAAAAGCTACATTTTGATACCTGGATCATCCTGATATCATAAGTGGATCCAGAGACTTAACTGGTCTTGTTGGTTACAATAACACATTACTGTTTGGTCTAAATCCTAATTTTATGTCAATTTATTGAGTAATTTTTTATGTTGATATAAAGAGGAAACCTCAGATAGTATTTGTATATTAAGATTTCCCAATTGGAAAAAAAACAAAAGCATTGCTAGCTCACAGGGAAAAATTCTAAACTTTAAGTAATTTTTCCTCAAAATCAGTTTTTTTGTTGCTGCTGCTAAAAAAATACTTCAAAAATGTTTTTTAGGATTATATTTCAGACACTTCATTCAAATGATACATTGAAAAGGCATTTATTTATTATACTCTGACAAAATGTAATTTTTGCACGTTGAAATCAAAACCCTATATCTGCCTATTTTTATATTCTCCACATTAGGACTTAATCCTCATTTCGATATGATGGGTCAAAATATAAGCTTTTAATTGATGGACTCCTGAAAATGGACATCTTATGGAGCTATAGATTCAGGAAAATCTCTCCCCATTCTGAGAATATACTTATTTGGTGTGACTGAGTTTTTCTGGCAAAAACTTGAGGTAAACGGAAAATGAGATACTTTTCTCCTCCATATGTCCAAATTTCCTGACATGTGCAAGACTAAGATAAAAGTCCCTGCTCTGTGTCGGTTGTCAGCTTGTAGCAGAAAAGTAGTTAGGTTGGCTTCTTTTTCTGTCCTGTGTGTCAATTAATAAATATGTAAAATGAAAACCATGCCAGTCTGGGCGAGCTGGCTACATAATGCAACCGTTTTAATGCAATTCTGAGCCCTAAACATGGAAAAACAGTATTTTAGATTTTGAATGCAGGAACCAAAAGGCTGCAGACTGTCATAACGGATGTTATAATTTTAAACTGCTGCATCAGTTCCTGTGAATGCACCACAGATGGCCTGTTACTGCTGCAACATTCTGGAAATGAGCTCAAATGTTGATCCATGTTTAAGGATTGGATTTCAGCTCGGTGTATCTATCAGTGCAGCGTTCCTCTTTAATATTTAACTGCCCTGTAATGATCCTTCTTTTAGTGAAGACAGTCGTTTTCACAGGAGACTATATTCATACCTGATACAATTAAATGCTCTAATGCAATATTTGATGCTGTAATCACTGTTTCGGTGACGTGTTTTGCAGAAACGCTAATCTCAGAATGATCGAAGCTGCAGTCTGAAGCGACAGGCAGAGTTTTTTTCTTTCTTCTGGCCGAACGGGTTCGTCATCACAACAGACCACCTGCTTCTTCACATTCAGTCACGGTGTTCTGAAAATGGAAAAGCTGACTCACCATCTTCTCAGATGTTGTGCAAAAACTTGGGATTTTTTTTTAAATCTTTAAAAGCATCTTTTATAAAGCCTGCAAAGAACCGATCTGCACTTCGTATCGTCGTGGCATTCATTATGCCAAGACTCCTGTAGTTTTAAAACAATTACATGTACATCCTTTGCCCACACGTGTGTCAATTATATAGCTTTTTTTTTTAGATTTTATCTCATAACTGTGTGGGTGTGCACAGCCTGATTGACACTCTCCTTCAAGCTTTCCCACATCAGGTGTCGGAGACGGTGTGTGCTGTTGTGTGTAAATGTCTTTACGGAAATATCTCAGCAGCTACTGGACAAATTTTACTGAATCTTACAGAAAGTAATCACTGGATGTACATCTACAACTGATTCATAAGCATCTGAATGACATTAGCAAACACAAAAATGGGTATAACTCAGTCAAATTTACATATATTGAGCTAAAATTTGATGTGGTAGTAGCTGGGAGTCATATGCAACCCATACTCTGATACGGCTTAGCATTATTTTCAAGGTTTTATGAAAACAGCTGCAATTCTGTCATTTCCCAACATAAGATGATTTTATTCTGGCGAGAAAGGTGGCAGACATCATGCATTCCTTTGAGGAATGGTTGGCCTTTACTTATCATTTGAGGCTGAAAGATAAATGGAGTTACTTAACGTGATTGATTTGATAGATGTAGACAACCTTACAACAATGCTTGGAGACGCTGACACATGTCACGTTGCTGCAGGGTGTCTGGACAGCACAGGACCAGAACAGCCTGTTCTAACATGTGCTGCTTTCGACAGAAGCTATCTGCATGAATTCACATATCTTCAGGAGAGAAATCGAGTTTCTCAACACTGAAGTCTTTGTTTGGGATCATACGTTGCTGCTGTCAGTGTCGACGCTTCATCATTTCAGTGTGCAGGACGTCACAGAGCATGATGACTGAGTGTTCAGGCTAAAGCGGCCCAAAATAACTCTGCCCAGATTGCGTGTCTTTATGGTAGTTTTGCCACATTTGGAAAATTCAGTGTCTTATTATGGTCATCTTAAATTTCTCTGTTATCATTTTACAGTTGCCTACAGGTGAACCGGTCTGTGAAAAATATATGCCAAAGGGCACAATGCAGTGCCATGTTCAAGAAATTCATAAGGGGAGTCTGATCTAATGTCACTGAGCAGTCAGAATGATGCATGAGCATGGTTTTTGACACGATGATGAAGAAATGGTTGAGTGCAATGTTAAACCTACAGATCAGATTTATGACAAGCCAATTTATCATATTAGCCAGGATCTTCAAAACAGATAAAGCAATTTTAAACATGAGTTATTAAAATAATGACCAGCAACAATGTAATTACAACTCTACCTATGAAATGTAGTGATTCTGGACACTATAAACATCCATTAGGAAATAGATGGGGTTGCCATTTTAAACTTAAAACATTACGACTGCTGTTACCTATGTTTTAAAAATATTTATATACTAATATGCAGTTTATTATTTTATTTTAATTTTTATAATGAGGAAAATCAAATCAAATAAATGTATTTATTCAGGGACAGTACGTTCAATAACTCCCATAAATTAAAACCTTGCTCTAGACAATTTAGGCTTTTAATAATAAAAAATAAACTAAAACTACAGTTTAAGTTGATCTAAAACTGCTATTATGAAGTTTTAGATGGGGTTTAATTATATGCTACATCGACTTGCCATACCCCATCATATCACTGGCATGTTAAACGTTTGAATGAGACCGATTAATTTTCAATGGGGAGAGCCGCACAGTGCAACCAACAATGGTTGCATAGCGAGCAATGATATTATTAATAGAAAACAAAGACCTCTTTTTAAAGAGGTGCACAAATTGAATAACGTCATCAAAAACACATTTATTCAGTGGTGATTTTGAAAAACTATATTGTGAAATGTTACCCAATTTTAACGTTATAATATAAAGCTAAGCATGCTAGTTCAAACTTAGCTAGTTTAGCTAACGCTATGGTTGATGAAAGCAGGGGGTGGAGATTGTGTGTTTTGGTGCGCTTCTCCAGATGTTATCACCTGGAAACATTCGAAGAAAACATTTAATCAGGTTAAAAGTTGACAAATGATACCACTATTAAATCTTGTGTTAAATGTAAATACACAAACCAGGTTTCGCAGCACTGGCTGGGCAGTAGGGGCACCTAAGGGGAAAGGGGTGCTTTTAATTTGATACAACACCGGGTTCACCGAGGCTGGTCCCGTTAACAGACCGATAAATACGTTTTGCCGAACATGGGCGGATTTTTAAAAACCATTATATACAAACAGACACGGCTGACTATTCGGTACCTATGCCATCCTGGCACAAGCTGGCTTAACGTAGCTTTATTTGCTCCTATTAGCAGTGCGTTTTTTGCATCCATCCGAACTGCTGATGGGTTAGCACGCAGCTAACTGTTAGCCACCGTGCAAGTGCAAGTGCAGAAATTTCCAACCGAGGATTTTGGGCTGCTCCTATTCCCAAAACCTCATCCAGCGAGCTCACATGGATGCTGCAAACCTGGCATATCAAAAAATGCAAAGACACCATTCAATCTTTCTTACCTCCTAAAAATCTATGCAAGATTTTTTTCGGGTAATCAATCTCAACACATGAATCTGGCAGTTAAGGCGCGCCCTTATCCTGCAGGACGTTGCTTTCAGTATCCCCTTGTCTCCACGAGGGAAAAAAAAAAAAAAAAACTCCAGCTGCGGTATTCTAATTCCCTCCTCTCGAATGTGTGACCAGAGCCAGAGTGTTTTAAATCCTCTTCCATGTACCAGTTGACAAACAAAGCATGTCCTGTCCACTCCTCACCTGCGGAAGACTGGCTGTACTCTGTCTCATCCCGTTAATAAATTCAATAGAAAGCATTGACGACTGTGGCTACTGCACATGCGCAGACCAGGAGCCAGATTTGATTTTCCCCAATGAAGTGAGTGAGGCTGCAGGAAAACCTGGTATCTCACACATGCCCCCACCACCCTCAAGTCTTTGAAAGTCTTTTTTTCTTGAGCTAAAGGGAAAAAAAATGTGGATTTCTTAATCAGCAGCATCTTTTATGTGAAAGTCCCCCCCCCCTCATCCCCATCCCACTGCACCCATCCCTTCCTGTCCGACAACAAAGACACCCCCACCCCTCCTCAATTGTCAATGGAGCACCCATTCACTGAGTGCCTCGTTGTAAATGCACAGAAAAGAGTTGTAGCTGTTAAATATTCTCTTTTTGTAAAAGGTTTGTCACAGAATTCCATTTTGAAACTTTTGAGATAAGGAATAAAAAAAAAACAACTTATTCATGTTTGTTTTGTTTATTTATTAATTCATTAAAACAAACAAAATAAAAACCTTTATACAATAAAAAACAAAACACAAGTCATAAATGAAAGGAAAGGAAGCAGAGAGAGAGGAAGAAATCTCATTATATCTGCCCTCTTTTCCCCCAAAATAAATTTTGGTGATAATAATAAACTTGTTTTACAGACTCAAACTAAAAAAATAAATAAATAAACAACAGTTAATTTTGATACATGCTTCGTAGTATCATATATATGTCCTGATGCATCTCAGTAATCCAGGTAAAAAAATCAAAAGGAAAAAAATTGTATAGGTCTTCTGGACGGGTTCTTCTTTAATGAAACGTTTCGTCTCTCTTCCAAGAGACTTCTTCAGTCTGAGAGTTTCAGGCAAAATTCAGGCTTTTGAGTCCTGCCTCCATGTGACTGATACTCACATCACATGGCTATCGTTCACACCTAATTAATACCTATTGTTAACAGGGGGTGGAGTGATACTGCCAATGGCAGCGCTGTAGGAGGGGGACAACTGAAAACGGAGGCCTCCACCTCTGTTTAATGATGGACGGTCTTTCTTCACCAAACTGGCTTCTTTTACTCCTCTCTCAAACCAACGTTCCTCTCTATCAAGAATGAGAATATCCTCATCTCTGAAAGAGTGACCGCTGGCCAGTAAATGAGTGAAAACTGCAGAGTTCTGGCCATTAGACGTAGCTCGTCTGTGTTGGGACATGTTTTAAATAAACTAGCTTTTATCATCTTTTAAACATAGAAATTGTTCTGGAAGTTAATATCAATATCAAGATTATTCTTTATAGGCTATCAATATAGATATATATCAATTAAAAAAAATCCTCATTGTGATTAATCTTGCCACCACAGCTCACTTTTTTTAAAATTTAGCATTCTATTTTATTTTTTTAGCATATGTGTTTGTAATTTTTGGTATTGTTCAAAATTTTACTGCCATGTTTTATATTTCATATTGTCTTTTACATATTTGTTTTTCACTTTGTAACGTGTCAAATTATGGTTGTATTTCATATTTGTGTCCTTTTTGTTAGTAACTTGGTGTTCTCCCACATAGCAAAATTGGTTTGGCACAGTTCTGAAAATACTGTGAATATTTGTGTGTACACGTTTTTGCTACTTGCTAGGGATAATTTTTGACCATTTTTCCAGTACAAAGTCCAATGAGGACCCACTGTTCCTTGTGAGGACAAAAAAACCCGGTCCCCTTTGGGGGAAATACTGTTTGTGGGTCAGAGGTTTGGACTGAGGTATGAGTTGAGGTTTGATTAGGTTTAGGGTTAGGTATGTACCTGTGAGGTTAGGTGTGAAGTTAGCCCGTATCTAGAAAGTGATTAAGAAAAACAAAGTAATCTAAATAACTGGTTAATAACAAAGATCAGTAAAATGAGTGAACGTGGCTTTAATCGATATTTTAATTTTAGTTTTTTGGAAGATGTGCGGCATCACCCCCAGGTATTACATTTATCCACATACCTGAGCACTAACACCTCTAGCCTAGATGCAGTTTGCCAGAAGCGGTTCAAGCGTGGCCCATTACCACATAAACTAAACAACTGGGCTAGTCGTGGTACTGACAGATCTGGACCACATATACAGTCGAGATTGTGGAATGCCATCATGCGAACAGTGCCATCATTGCCAGACCTGGCCCACATCCAGTTGAGAAACCACTTGCCATGCCAGCAGTGTCAGCGTGACACCAGGTCTGGCCCACATCTGTCTGTGGGCTGTTTCTCTTCTCGTTCTGATGGTTTTGTTATAATTTAGAAATGTATCTTATAAGAAAGGTACTGGTTCCTAAACTTCTTGGGTGTGCAGCGAAGACTGCAAACCGGGGACTTACCTTTCTTTGTCGGATATGTCTGGACATCTGCTGGTCTCTCCTTGGACTTTTGTGGGACATCAAAGGTGCTCTTCATTTGGGATACCGTCGAACTCGGAGTCTGCTCTGCCAAACGAACAGGAGCTTTGGGTGCCTCAGGTCTGACCCGACTCTGCTGTCTTTGCATTTGGTTGGCCTCTTTGACAATTTCCGCCACGGGCTTGTAGGAACCCACCTCACCACCCCGTCCCACGTCTCGGTTGATGCTGTGATTCGTCAAATTTTTGTGACAGCCGTAGTCGCCATTGTTAGCTGTACTGACCTGCTTCTGCATTCTTTCAGATAAGAATCCAGTTTCTTTTTGGTCTGAAATGCCACATTTTAAACTTTGGAAGTCACTATTAGGTGCATCGTCAGGGATGTGAAAGGCCTCTGTTGTCGTATTTACAAGAGGAGATGACCAGCTTCGCTTGGATCGTCTGTCTAAGAACACTCGTCTCTGCAACATGTCCAAGTTTTGAGGCTCATCCTCTGGAGACAGTTCTGCCATTCGCACACAGTACTCAAAATCAACCACGTCTCCAAATTGGTCATCTATACGCCTGGGAGACAGATGGTCCCACGATCTGATGTCAGCAGACAGTCGACGAACGTTGGCCGGTACGATGTAAGTGCCTGTTTCATTCCACAGCAAGCACATGTCCTGATTTGTAGGCTTGCTGCATGGAAGATCTTTGTTAAAATGAAAAGTGTGTCTCCTTTTGACCCTTTCCTCTGAACGCAGATGATCTTTGTCTCGTCTTTGCACATCCGTAGACTTTAACTGTGCAGTTTTGAGCTTTACAAAGGGGTTCTTGGGCTTTTTGGGGACAGGAGGCGGGGGACCCTTGACTTTAGTGTTTTCTGATGGCATCAGGTCACCGTTGGGACCGGATGAGGCAGGCATGGGCTCTGTCGTGTTGGTGTCTTTCTTCGGTAACAGATGAGTTAAAGGTGGAGGAGTGACGACAGCAGAGAAGCAAACGAGCTCGCTCTCTTTCTTTAAGCAGGCCACCTGTACCTTCCTATCAGTGTTTCCTGCCAGGGGAGGACGAGGCATTGCTTCACATTGTTCCAGTGTAAATGAGTGCAGCTGGGGCGCTACAGAAGGAGGAGTTGTGGACCGGGAAGAGTGAGACTGGCTCTCATCTTTTCTGGTGTTCAATAAATGACCTGACACCCCTGGTTTAGACCTCCAGGACACCGCTTCAGCAAACTTGTTCTCATGAGCCACTTGCTGGTCTTTAGGCTTGCTGTGTGTTAGCTCCTGTTTGATTTGAGCACCAGTGTTCTGCTCTGTCTCTGCAGTCCCTCCACCAGTTGTCTCGCTGCAGGCAACATGACTTACTCCTTTTAGCTGACACCTGCTGCCTGTCAGTTCAGCCAAATGTTGACCCATTTCCCTCTTCAAACAGTCTCCGGGTGAGCTCTCAGCACATGCTCCGACAGTATCGGACCTCTCTGTGTTGGGCTTCTCGTTATTCCCGTCTCGAGGAGTACGCCTGGAAGGTTGTGGGAGTTTGTCGTTGCGGGAGTTATCGGAATCCTCACCTTCTTTTTTGCTGCTGCTTTCTGCTTCAGACGACATCCAAGTCTCATCTTTTTCCAGCAGCACAAAGTCCTCCTCGTTACTGGGGTTGCATGAGGTCGTTAGACCCCTGCTTTGAGTCTGGGGGTCCATCTTACTGTTAGTTTCTGATGTGTTCTGGTTTTCCTGATCATCCATAGCTGTAGATCCACGCCAGGCCACAGTTTTATCCTCAAAGCTGCGCTTTTTGTTAGAAATTAGTTTTGTCTCCTTAAAGCTCAGGACTCTTTTCGACTCCAAAACAGTTGGAGTGATTCTTCCCCTGCCTTTGCCCACCCACTCTCCCTTAGTGTGCAGAAGGTGTCCCTGCTGACCCACAGGTCTGATTGGCTGCTCAGTTTGGGGGTCTGTACGTGCAGAAGTGACAGTGAGCTTCTTTGGTTGCCCCGTGGCCAAGTCGCTGACGCTGAACCCTCTAATCCCATCAATCCCCGTACGGGTTGCCGAGCTGCCATCGTCCGGATGTTTGCTCTCATCTGGTTCTGCGTTCTCGGACAGCCTCGTGTCTCCAGTTTGCTCAGACCAGTCGGAGTTATCTTGTGACTCCTCATCCTTTCCAGACATCCTCTCCAGCTTTTGCCCCATGGCTATTTTTTTTCTTTCTGTCAGCCAATTAGAAAAGACACATGTCAAAAACAGCACATATACAGGTTTTACAGTCAACTATTTCAAACTTTTCTCAGTCTTCCGTGACTTGCATTTTCCTTCCTAGAGTCTCACTATCTGTTCTGTCAGGAAGGAATGCTGTGGTGGCTAAAATTAAAACTGGTCTGACTGATGCCAGTGAGCCAAGAGTCCAAAAAAGAAACAAGATAAGCCAGATAAGAGGTCAGCTGCTGGGTGCCAAGGTCAGACAAAAAGCCCCAAACAAAAATACATCTGTTTATTATTTTCTTTGAACCTATAATCTCTGAAATTCATTAGTATTTTTGCTTAATACTAATTTGGGTAATTTGTTATGCATCACACTTTGTCAATTACTGCAATGAATAAAAAGCTTGTTTGTTCCCCCCTTCTGATTGACTGAATGTTTATGATTGTTTTGGCGACAGGGATATAAAGAAAGCTCCCCCTGAATACGTGATGGAGTCATGTTGGCTTTGTCTCGCCAAATTCAATTGTTGGGCCAAGGTTTGATAAGCAGAGTTTAACTGTGGTCATGATGGATGGCGTACGGGGGGATTATTTCAAAAGGAAAACAGCTCAACAAACTTAGACCGACATGTGCGACAAGTATTCTTAGCTTATAGGAAGAGAACTGTGCATAAAGAGGAAGGTCTAAAATAAAGTGCGGCTGCAGGTGGTGGTTAAGTTTAAACAAGAGTTCATTTGAATTCTGTGCAATAAACTGTTATTTGCTCATCCTTTTTGTCTATGTTGTCTAACAGAAACAAAGAAGTTTGTTTCATCTCAAAGAACCACATTATTTTTGATGAGTCACTGGTTCAGCAAAAAATCTGAATGACTTCACCAGATACAAAATCGAGTCTTTTGATGTTGTTGTTACTCTGAATAACAGATTATGACACTGCTTTATAT